CCTCTACTCAATGGTAAGGTGACAATCTCCTTTGGTTTTATGAGAATATTTTTCACATGGGAATTTCCTCTCCTTCATTAAGAGGGAAGGAAAGTTATCTTGTGCCTGCTGCTTTTCAAGAACATTTAATTACAAATAGCCAAGGTACCAAAGAAACATATCTTGATATAATATGATCTTAACTTCATCAAGTAAATAAGATTTAACTCATTTATTACAATTACTATATTAGTTTTCCAAGATCTGTCATTGAATAATAAATTATAGTAGTTTTTAATCTTATTTGATAATTATCAAAATAATTCACTATGAAAATACAGTGGAAGAAAAACATTTCCTGGGACTAGAGCCTTGTGGAGTATGGCAGCCCTGGGTGGGGATCAGTCTTGTGGCCTTAAAAGAGTGTACCTCTTGAAAAGCCCTGCTCTACATAAGGAAGTGTCAGTCACTGTGGCTGTAACTGAAAGATTTCCTCTCATTTCATTAGAGACTCATTAGACTGCTAGATTGAAAACAAAGACGAGCAAAGCGAAGAGCAATTTCCCCTTCATATTTTCCATGCTTCAGAAAAACTGCGGCAACTAGACACCTTTCCATGAATGGACTTCTTTTTTCCTAATTTTTTTGTTGTCTTTCCAAAAAATAAGTTAGTACAAACAGCAAAATAAACTACAAATCACACATAATCTAAGGACCAACTTAAGATGGAATCGAGTAGCTGAGAACTATTTGTATTATTTATTGAAATTCCTTTCATAGACAAAACTTTCCCATTCAAAGTATGGTCACAATTATCTTTGGAATGACTGAACTTTATTCTGAGGGACGCAGTGGGGCTAATGCATGAATCAGAGGTCTGTAGTCATCCCAAAATGTGTATGTAGGTGTTTCTCCTCCTTGGAGTGGTATCTGGCTAGACAAAAAGAAGTATTCATCTTTATTACATTTCAAAATATAATCAAATTTCTTCTTTGGTAAGTTTTAGTTTTAAGTTATCTTGTTTAAATATTGTTTCATTAGTTTAAAACACTATTATTTTACACTTTCTTTGGCCAGGCATTTACTTGTGCCCTCTACGTATAGTTTGTAGGTTACAGAAACAGAGATTTGGCATCTAAGGCAAACAAGACAATAAACTTGAATTCTGGACGATAAGAGTAAAATATCTTAGAAAGGTCAAGCAAAAATTGGATGTTTTTACTTTCTTTTAACAAACTTTTTTATATATGAATATTGGGAGAATTTCTTTCCTTATAACCTGAGAAATTTTCCCAGAATCAGGATCCGTTTTTTTTGTCCTTAAAGCCTTTTTCATTTTTAATATATTTGAGGCTGCCTACACTTAATTAATCGAATGTCACAACTCTAATATAATTATTTGATGAATAATATTAGAGGGGTTATGTTTTAATCACTATGCCATTTTTCAATATTGATGACTATCATGTCTATAATTTTGAGCCGTAGGCTTTATTTAGTCTTCTAACAACTTTGTTAAAGAATAAAAATTTTTAATATTCAAATTACTTATTTGTAATATTTTCTAAAATAATATTAATGTGATACTTTTACTTTTTATCATTATATAGCATGTAAAATTGTGCTGCTTACTAAAATTATTATGGATGTTATTAACCAGTTTCAATAAGAGAGCGACAAATGTCAATGATTATTAATACTTCCTCAGCATTCTCAGGTTTGAAAATACATAGCCTTTAGGAAGTTTGCAAACCCTCTGCTACTAAACTGAAAAAAAAAACCATTTCAACTTTTTCACTATCTAAAAACATAAAGCATTGTAGATAATCAAAGAAATATAAAGAAGAAACATGTATTACTTGCTTTCATTTATTAACTAAATGTATATGTGTATACGCTCTTATATAATTTTTCATAACAGAACATAGAAAATGTGCATGCTTTTTGACATATCATCAGACGTGTTTTGGTATGTAAAGATGTCCTCAGATATCCTATAGGAATTCTGTAATTTTGGAGGCAGACTGTTTGTTATTCGAATGTGTTACTTGCCTGGTTAGTTCAGATGATTGGACCATGGGACAGATCCGATGAAGGCTGCAATTTCAATCTCTAGGCAGGCCAGTTAGTGTTGCTCTTTTTCATGGACACATGAAGGGACTCAATGACTTAGAAAGATAATATGAATGCATTGCTGTGAATTCATTCCCTTCTCAGGAAAAAGAAGAAACAAACAAAACCTACCACCAATAGCTCACACAAGAACAGACCTAGGTTTGTGCCAATCCCTATCGTTAAGTGTCAGAAGAAAAGCTTGACCCTCAAGATACAAAGATTGGATGCTATATAGGTTTTCTCCATAATGAAACATAATGACTTGCCTTTTCTTTTTATAGTTACAGTTGAGGGGCTCCAGCTGATAACCTGCCTGAAATTACTGCAAACCTGGTGGGAGGCATTGGAGGAGGACAGTCATGTTTTCATTTCACTAGGAAACCACTTAGCAAATTACTGCTCTTCTGTAAATTACTGTGCTGCTTAACTTTCAAACTGAGAAATGATTTTATTTTTCCATAAAAATTGCAGATGAAAGGGTTGTATAATATATAACCTGTATTTAAAACAAACCAATTCCTAGAATTTAGAGAATGTGATATAGCATTTTTAAGTGGGAATAAAACAAATGCATTTTTATTGTAAATATTAAACAATGTATGTTCTCCATTAAAGTCAGATTTTCATTTACTTCTTGTTACATGACCATTTGAGGAGAATATGTAGAGGCTTCTGAGGAAGAAATAAGCTAAGCATTTATTTTTTTAGAATAAAAAAACATAATTTTAGAAATCAGAGGCCTTTGAACCTACATTTTCTATCTTCAAGAGTGCCCCACGACTGGTAATCAACCTATACAAAACCCAGTGCTAGGAGCAAATGACTTTTACGACACCAAGTATTTTGGTTTTGCAATTTGGTAACAGTCCCAGACTTAATCTGGGAAAATGTGTTCTTATCCTTTACTACCATGACTAAGGGAATCACATTCCAAATATGGTGGTCAGTGCAAATGTGGCTGGTTGTGTACACAAGACTTAGTCTGGCTGGCCTTCTGAAACATCAGGATAATGAAGCATAGAACTGGTTCATTTCTTTATAGTAGCAATAACATGGAAAAGCAAAGGCAGAATAGAAAGCAATTCCTTCGAAAATGAGGTCTCATCTCAGTACTGCCATTCTATAAACAAAGGGCTTGGAAACACAAATGATTGCTACTCATAAAGTCTAGAGAATACTAAGTAAATCTATCCACAATTTAAAGGTTGGCATGACTAATAAACAGAAATTCTTTTGGTAGCTAAGATTCATGATCCTAGAACTATTACCAACACCACTAGGTTTTAAATACCTTATAGTTGAATACAGAAAGTTGTGGCAAACAGGGTTAGTCAAGAGAATGGCATAATGTGGTTTCACAGCTGAAAAATAAAGGCCTAGAGGAAGGGGTTAAAGGAACCAATACAATTCATTTTGAAAATCAGTAGACTAGAAAGCAACTTTTATCATTTTTTCCAGGGTTTCTCAAAAGTGTTTGTCCTGTAACCATAGAATCAGAAAATATTTTATGTGGCAATTTTTCAGTTTTCTGAAATTAAGGAGAATTTAATTCATTACATACAGCAGTGCTTTAGTCACCAGGGCTCATTCTCATGGTACTCGAGGTTAATGAGGATTGATTGGGTACAAAGTAGACCATAAGACAATGCTAGCAAGATATCTGGAGCCTAGATAGTACATTTGAGAAACTGAAGACATATAAATAAGAGAGATAGAGGATGGATTCCTAAAGATAAATTAAATAGTACATGTGAGTCTATTAAAGAAAGTCCATGTATTTTGAAGCTCTGCTTATGTTCATCTTACTGGAATTGGATAAGTGCAGGGGAATGAGGTTAGGTACACAAGGCACTGTTCTTGTCTTAATTTCAAATGGATGTGTTTGGTTCTCTGAGTATGAGAGAAGTGAGAAAGTGAATAAGTGAAGTGAAGAAGCCCAAGATTATGTGAACGAGGACAATGTGTTACTTTTGTAATATATGTCAGAGATTGATTTCTTCTCTAAAGTACTCAGTTCATGATGCAGAGAAATGCCCATTTCTGATGTCAAGGAGGACACAGAAACCTCATGTTGACAGAGAGAAGGCAGATGGCAAAGCCATGTTGAGGAGTCGTATTACATAAGGTGCTTAGGTTCTGTAGACGTATCTTTTGAGTTTTGATATTCTTTATTCTAAAAAATAATGCCTTTTGGCTATAGGAAGATGCTTTAATGAATCAACATCCAAATAAATGATTGTTCAGAACTACAGAACTATCCAAGACAAACTATATATTCATAAAACAGATCTATTGGAAAATTTGGAGTTTTGTACTCTAAACGTTGCCTGGCTTCCTTAGGTCGTTCTCTAATGAATGTAAATGTAGAAAAATTCTGGGTATATCGAATTTTATTAGCTAAATTCAAAAGTATTTGAAGTCATGCTGCACAGTTGCCCACAGTGATATTTTATTCATTAACCCACATTATCACAATTCTGGAACTGTTCACCAAGATCACTACTGACTTGGATTGTACTTTAAACTGCAAGTGAATTTTTCTGATGAAACTTTAAGGAGTATTTGGACAAGGCATCTGTCATACTGTGGATACAATCTGCTTTCCCTGGCAACTTATTATTAATATAAAATGTGAGCCCATATTGGTCTTTGCTCACGTAGGCAGTTCACATGAATTCCATGAAACTAAGAGTGACCTACAAAGGGCAAACTTTCACTTCCAAGAAAACAGTGGTTTGAATACCTAAATGTACATATCTCTTTTATCTAAATAAATATATCTTTTACTCATAGTATTGCAGTCGAGTTTACAGCAGTTGATAATGTTTGATAATGTTTGAAATTGACACATGAATAAAACTTTTGTTGACTCTTCCTAACTGTTGCATTTTTTTCTCCATTTATAGCTACCGAAGAGCAAGAAGATGAATCTGTTCCTCTGTCCTTAAGTCCAGATGTCTTAAGTAAGTCACAGTTAGATAATTGCCCAAGGGACTCCGGTTGCTATATCTCATCAGGAAACTCAGATAACGGCAAAGAAGATCTGGAGTCAGAAAATCTGCCTCACATGGTACAGAAGATTACCATCTCGGAGCCAAGTGACTGAACACACGTTCTCAGCTACACGTCTAAGGCTGCATTCCATTTGAACTCATGTACTATAAGATCAAGTTGAGAGAAAGGGAAATATTTCCAAATGCATCCCAGAGTTCCAAGTGTTTAATTTGAAAGACTGTACATACAAGTTTGTGTCTCTAAATGTCCTAATGATTGTATGTAAAATGTATATTTATTAAATACTGTGTTAGTATTTTACCCATCTATATTAGAAAAATATGTGGTGCAAGCTTTGCTATGTGTGATGTATGCTTTATTTGTCTTTATTTTACAAGTGTGACATAATGAACTTGAAAAAGGTACATTTTTCATACCTTCCAGTTTGAATTTGTGTATAATATTGACTTTATAGTAATAGAAGATGTTTCAGTTGAACTGATTTATACATGCAGCATATACATTCATTTTTTAAATTATTGGGAAACTGTAAATTGAGTTTAGAGACTTTGTCCTGATAAAAGGTGGAGTTTTAGTAACTATTTTTGATTTATTTCTTCACTGTGCTATTTGCACATAAAGATATGATTAACAGTATTCTGTCCATCTTGGTTTAGTAAAGCTAAATAACTACAGAGGCCCTTTGTCTTTAAGTGTAAATATTTTTAATTTTGGCATACCTTTATGTTAATAATAAAATGAACTATATACATACTATATTTCCCAGAATAATTTTAAAAGTTACTCTAGGTATTTTACTATTAGACTTTAAAAGAATATTTCCACTATCAGACAATGTTGGATAGTCATTATTCAGTTAATAAAATTTAGTGATTCACAAATCATTTTCTGAATCCAGATCCATGTTATTAAACTTCCTGAGTGCTCCAGGAGATTTCAGTTTGATATGCCCAAACCCTTGATTTTCTGTACAAAATTTCCTCTACTGCTTTATTTCTAATCTCTTTTTTTGAAACCAACAGCTAGTCACTAAAACAGAAAGTCATATCATTCTTGTTTTGCGGACATCTTTCTCAGACAAATTCACCAAGTCCTATAATTCTACCACTAGAAATGCTGCCATATTCAGGCCTTCCAAACCACATCCATAGTTGCTGTTATGCTTTAGAATTTCATGCAGAATGTAGTATCTTTCCAACTGATTCCATGACTTCAAATCCATCTCCACACAGTCTCTAACAAAATCTTTATAATTCAGAAATAAGGCACTTCCCTGCTTAACTTTTCATTCATTTTACTGTAGATATATAAATTCTTTCTCAAGCACGTTTAACCTACTTATGAGTCACATCTCTGCTCTAATCTATCAGTGGACATTGTAGCTAAAGCAGTCCTCCTTACATCTGTCCACATTCACTATTCCCTCTCTGGCCCTTCATGGGTTATGTGTTTATTTGGTGTCTATCCTGATTTTTTCAGCTAAAGCTTCCTTCTATTCTCTGTCTGGAAACTGCTATGAGAGGGTTTCTTACTCTGTGCAATCTTTGTGATTGCCTTCTGTGCTTTCTTCTTTGTGCTTTGATGGCAACTTATAAGTTATTGGTTATAGAAATTCACATTTTATGTTTCTGTGACAACTGCCTTTATACAAGATTGTGATCTCCTTGTGATAGAAACTATTTGCTTAGGCTTTTAAAACCCTAGTGCCTACCAAAATCTGACAAAGAATCAATTAGAAAATATACATTGGGGGTTGGAGGGATGGCTCAGCGGTTACAAGCACTGGCTGTTCTTGCAGGGGACTCAGATTTGATTCCCAGCACCCACATGATGGCTAACAACCAGCTCCAGCTCCAGGGAATCCGATGCCTCCTTCTGACCTTTATGGGAATTTCACAACATGGGAGCACTTATACACAAGTAGACAATACACTTACATACATAAAATAAAAATATTTTAAAAAGAAAATATACATTGAAGTGCATTGAACACGATGACTATTTTCCATATAAAAACTGTGTCATTATTGTTAGGTTTCTCTTACCAACTTATAGATGAATACTACAAATAATCTAAAATTTTTTAAATAGAATAAAGTGGGACTGGAGAGGTGGCTCAGTAGTTAAAAGTACTTGCTGCTCATTTGTAAGGACCAGAGTTGAGATCCCAGCATCAAGGCATCAGACACTCTCTTCTGGCCTTCATGGGCACTCAATCACACATGTACACATAGACTCACACAGACACACACACACTCACACACACAATAAAATGTTAAGAAGAAATAGGAAATAAAATGTAATACTATAAGAAAGAAAACCCAGGATATGTAAAAGGTTATTTCAAAAGCTGAAAGACAACCTTATATGCTTAATATCTGGTCTCTTTTATCAGATTCATGAGGTCTAATCTCATAAGCAATGGCATGAAACGCAAGCTTACCTTTATATCCCCCCTTTCTCAGAAGAAAATGCTATTTCTTGATATGGCCACCACAGCTAATATATTAGTCTAGAGACGGTTTTGGACACAGCACAGGAATTGATGTGCAGGATTTTTTTTCCTTTTAAACTGTACCAAACCTACTCTTTCAATTTGGTCAAGAGAGCAGTATGTTCTTTGTGGAAATGCAGGGAAATAGCATGTTGAGAACAACTAAATAATAAAACATTGGAAATCTCCAATGAATCAAAATCTTTCATAATTTAAATCCCTTGAAATGGTCTTATATCCAGTTAAGGATTTAGGGACACAGTTTTGAGCAGAGGCTTTGAGACTAATGCAGAGAAAGATTGAGCTCTTACAAGTCATAAGGGAGGGTAGCAGAAGAACATGAAGTTCTCTTAGCCAGAAGAAGGGTCTGAACGTGGAAGACTGCCCTAATGAGGATATAAGGACATGTGGGTACCAAAGAATGTTTCCACATGGGGAGATTGCTGCATTTAGTTGAAGTACAGTTTGCTCACTGTACAAGAAGTCATCAACAGAAAGAAAGCAGGTTTCCTCCTTTACACCACAGAATACTGAATGACGAGAAGCAGAAAGGCAAAGAAGAGCTCATCCAAATCTGTGAGGGAGCTGAGGGACTTGGACTTTGCTGCTTTTTCAAGAAGACAGGCAAGAGTCTTCAGAGCAGGTATGAAGAAAGAGGGCCAGCATATTAACATTTAGAGGACATTTTCATTGGCTCTGTACACTGAAATCTGGTAAGATGCCCAATCACATACATTTATGTATTCATTAAACAATATTTAGATTTTATCAATAAAGGTCCTTAGGACCAAGTGGTCTACATTAGGCAGCCATCAGATTCTACCTGCTGGAACAAGTAAATAAAAGGTTGTAAAACCTTTTCAGATGCAGTAAGTATCTGATTCAAGAGGTTTTTGATATTTTCCTATTTTTCCATGATATGACAGTACATAAAGTTTGAGAAATTTTATTCCAGATAAATTGACACAATTTTTATAATTCAAATACTGTATTCAATACTTGGGATTAAATCCTGGACCATGTACATGCAAGACAAGCACCCCACTATTGACTTCTAGCTCCAATTATATTTATTTATTTATTTACTTATTTAGTTTTGAGGTAAGATCTTACTAAGCTGCTCAGGTTGGGCCTGAACTTGCTTTGTAACCCAGGTTGGACTTAAACTTGTGATCCTCCTGCTTCAGCCTCCTGAATAGCAAGGATTACAATCCTTCACCACAAGATAGAGCTCACATTTTATTTTGGGGTTTTATTTATTTAATTTTGGCAAATACAAAATTGAAGTCATTTAGGCTCTGTTTTTCCCTCTGTTCTATCATTAATATAAACATGAGCATTATCTTCAACTACAAGTATATTATTAGTTGTCTTTTTATTTTTTAATCAATCTAATTGCCAAAAGAGATAGTTAGATGAAATAATTTTTAAAACTAAAATGATAGATAAAGATTATTAGGTATCTGACAAGTTCCATTTCATTGAGGTTACAGCCACATGTCTTGTAACTTCCTGAGTGTGGCCAAATTGATGACATTTCATGTTGAGAAATTTCCGCAGCAAGCATAAGTTCTGAGAAAAATATTATGATGAAATTTTAGATATTCCTTTGTCCTATACCACAAGTACTTCTACACTACACTGCCACAGAGGAAAAATACCTAATTAGCATGCAAGCTTCAAGTACTCTGATAAAGTGAGAAATTTTGCTAAAATTATGAAAATGTTGAGAGTTGAGTGACTAGGTACTAAATATAGGTTAAACAAATAACAGCAGTTTCTAATTTCATCAGCTGTTTTGTCTATGGAAATAAGATAGAAGTAATTCTGATTTTGTGCTACCTCCTACCTCCATTTAACCACTAAATTCCTCTCAGCACACTGTTTATATAGACATACATTCTAGAGGTCATGGAGTTGAGCCATCTGCTTTTGAGAACTGTGTGACCTTTGCCAAGTCGTTTACCTCCGAAGTTACTATTTTCTTTTTTCACCTAAAAGTGGTATACATACAGCAAATAATGTATATGAAGCACTTTGCATAATACCTGTAGTATTTGTATAAAAACCACTACTATTTTATATCCACTCCTTCATTTAACCTGCTCAGGTCTGGAGATCAGATGGAAGCAGGGTTCATACCCTAATCACACAGGCATGGCCTTCTTAAGACATAAGTGGGCTGAGGTACAAACTGTGCTGACCAGAAGCAATGAAAGAGGATCAGCTGGTTGAAGAGAATTTCTCAGCTGACTCACATATTCAGCATGACAGAACATTTCTTTTTGCCTCTGACTAGATCAAAAAGAGATGATACTGTACATGATTCTATACTATTGGTACATGACAGAAGTAATTTTTTTTTGTCTTTTTGAGACAGGGTCTCCCTGTAGCCTCAGCTGTACTGGAACTCACTATGCAGACCAGGCTGGCCTTGAACTCACAGAGATCCGCTTGCCTCTGCCTCCTGAGTGCTGGGATTAAAGGGTAATTTTTAAATAATAATTATCAAACATAAATGAATACCTACTTTAATGAATAAAAAATTAGATTTGGGATTGTTATTACCCTGGAACTTCGCTTTCCATAAATTATGAAGTCTCAGCTGATGGAGCTATAGGAATCCTAAATGTGGGCATTTACATACATATGAAGCTTATATACATTTAGGCAAAAGGTTTGTTTTATGAAATCAAAGTGCTGACAGGCTACAAGGAAATATATACATTCTTTCCATTCCTCCCCTGTCCACACCTGCAACATGAACACCCACAGTTCCACGACCAAAGAATTTTGTGCTGGAAAT